ACACCAAAATGACGGGCGTTCATTTTGGTGTCACCCCCTCTAAAAAGTCGGGCTCTCTGTCCACAGTTTCGGGAGAGAGGAGGGGACCCGTCGGAATACCTCATCCCGCCAGGTGACTGTCCCCTCCTCTCTCTGCCGCCATTCATCACCAAGATGGCCGCCAGCAGTTATCAATAAGATCGCCGCGCAAGACATGATGACGTCAGAACAGGGTCTCCCCCGGTAACTGCTCCGGGTGACACCCGGCCTTGGGACGCCCCTGACGCTCAATCTTACAAGTCTGGGTTGGGTTACAACCATTGGAGGGGTGACACCAAAATGACAGACAGTCATTTTAGTGTCACCCCCTCTAAAAAGTCGGGCACAACTGGACAAGCACCCAGCCAAGCATAGACTAACCTGGAGTGACACACTGCTTTTCTTACATTGCAACTTACCTGTTCTAGTTCTTCCAGGTAGTGGCTGCAATGCATTAGTTTCCAAGTTTTTCCCTTTATTTTTACCTGATGCCCCTGCCAGTTCCACACTTCCTGTCCTAGGATGACAACGCTCACTCACTGTACTGTAGCTATACAGGAACAGTGTTGTCACCCTGGGACAAAACTCCAGAACACTTCTATCTCCCATCCATAAAATAGAGTGCTGATACCTGATAACTGATAACAGACAGCAGAAGACATTATGAGCTCACAAGGTGTCTGGCAGATCAACAAGTATTTTTTTTTTTGTTTGCAATTATCGAATAGCTATAACAAAACATCTTTAATGGACTTTTAACGGAGCAAAAGGGAGCAAATAAGAGACATTCATTGCAAACGTTTTCATATACGTTAATTGTTTTTTTTTTACATCTGCCTGGAGTGCAGCCTTAATATGTTCCTGATGCTAAGAAATTTCAAGTAAAACATGAAGTAGCTACACCGAAACGCTCATATAAATATTGATTACGCGTTTAGCGTTTATGGCTGAAAAGGCCAGTTAAAGCACGTTGAACCAGACATCATAAAATAAATGTTCAGCCACTTGGAACTTGGCTAATTCCTGGTGGAATCTCCTCATGTTAATAACCACAATGTCAGTTTTGAAAAACAAGCACATTTAAGGTAAAGACAGACGATATCCATCACACTTTAGGGAAGCCAATGCAAAGCTGGAATGTATTTAGTTTACATTTAAGGTAAATAAATCTTCTGCAAGGAAGCTTTATATCCTCATGATGTTGGACCATTAAAGTGATGTACTGTGCCCATACTTGGAAAAGTAGTAAGGTCAATGTAAAGGAGGGACCTTAAGTACTTAATTGCACTTTCCCACCACCTTAATCCACTGCCAGGCCACCCCAGAAATACCCAGGGGGACATTTATCAAGCTAAGCTGGTGCAGAGAGACAGATTATAAGACAGCATTATGACAAGGCTACAAATGGATTCATACATACCTTCCTCTGCTGCTCTTAAGTTTTACTATGACAGAATAAAACCTGCCCCTGACCACTACTTCATTGTGCATCTATGTGGAGTCAAAATCTGTCTCATCTTCAGCTAGCTTGGTGATCATCAGCTATTTTTCCTTGTTCCAGCTGCCAGAACCGGCATAATTATAAGTGACCTGATAGTCGTACCCTGTTTCTGGTGCATAAATACAAGTTGAGCATATCTAGAGTCTTGTTCCAGGAACTGGACCAGATGCTTGGGACCCTGTCCACTAGAAGGCATGATTGGTAGCCTTGACTTCTTGTTCCAGTTGCTAGGTCAAGCCATGAGAACTGACCTGCTGGTCAACAGGTAATAACCATGGCAGATGCTGTTCCGGAAGCTGGAATGAGTGCCTGGCAAGCTTGGTGGCCTGTCCCACACAACAGGCTATTATAGTGGAGAAAATGAGGAGTGCTGGACTACTTTGTGTCTATGGTTTGTAATTGGTGGTGCCTGGAGGTTGGTAGGCAACGCTTTAGTTCCAAGGACACTTTTTGGGATGGTTCCTGTGGAAGAGTTTTTATGATAAGGAAGCTCCTCTACAGGTAAAAGTCCAGAATAGGCATCATTTGCATTCAACCAGATATGCTAATGCATTTGGGGTCTAGAGGGGTCCCCCTTCATCAGGCTGTAATAATTGAGGATTAAAGTGTGGACTGGGCTAAAGGATCAGCGAAACAAAAAATGTTTGACCTGTTGCAGCTTGAGTTCACCAACCAAACCCAAACTGGAACAGGCGATTTACACAGTCCTCAGCAACGTATTTGTTTCACTGGTCCCTCAGACAATTAAGCCTATTCTAACCTTTTACCAGCGGAGAGTGTCACCCCCTCTAAAAGCCCTTATCTTCCAATGTCATTCCACAAAGGTGGCTGTCCGCTCCCAGAAGAGACATTGGTCATGGGAGGTGCCCTAGGGGCCATGTTTTGGGTGTTAAGCATTCCATTTTCTGTTCTGGGTGCTGAAATAGGTACTTTGCAATGCTAGGTGTCCTGTCTTAGCATGGACGTGGCCCCCTGTTCCTAGTACTGGGTCAGGTATTATTAGTAAAGCGAAACCGGGATAGGGAGCTCATCTGGGTATGGGGGCATGTGCTGTGTACAACGGGGGTCATGTTTTGGATGTTAAACATTTCAGTTTCCTGTTTTGGTTGCTGAAATAGGTACTTGGCAATGCTAGGTGTTCTGACTTAGCATGGATGACTGGCCGTGGATCCCAGTTCCAAGTGCTGGGTCAGGTATTACTAGTAAAGAAGAGAGACCAGGATAGTGGACTTATCTGGGTACAGGCACATGTTCTATGTACAACGGGGGCCATGTTTTGGGTGTTAAGCATCTCAGTTTCCTGTTTTGGGTGCTGAAATAGGTACTTGGCAATGCTAGGTGTCTTGCCCTAGCATAGACGACTAGTCGTGGCTCACAATTCCAGGGACAAGGTGCAGCTACAAGCGCTATGTACAACGCGGGCTATGTTTTAGGTGCTGGGTGATTGGCACACTGGTGGACCTGGCACACTGGCTGGATTTGGATGCCACAACGACTGGCCATAGCTCCTAATTCCAGGGACAAGGTGCAGGGACAAGCACTATGTACAACTGGGGCCATGTTTTAGGTTCTGGGTGATTGGCATACTGGTGACCTGTGTTGGCCACCACAATAAATGTTTGCTATCCTTGGCATCTGGTTACTACAGCTGCTGGAACTGGCAATCAAGACGAGCAACCTGATGCCTTTTTTGGGTGCTGAAATTATTATTAGTAAGGAGAGGCTGGGATAGGAGGCTCATCGGGGTTCAGGGACATGTTCTTCTATGTACAACGGGGGCCATGTTTTGGGTGTTAAGCATTTCAGTTTCCTGTTTTGGGTGCTGAAATATGTACTTGGCAATGCTAGGTGTCTAGTCCTAGCATGGACGACTGGTCATGACTCCCAATTCCAGTTGTTGGGTCAGGTATTATTAGTAAAGACAAACCGGAATAGGGGGCTAATTTGGGTGCAGGGACAAGCGCTATGTGCAATGGGAGCCATGTTTTAGGTTCTGGATTATTGACACACTCTTAGACCTGTCCTGGCCACCACAATCATTGTTTGGTGGCCTTGGCATCCGTTTACTGGAGCTGCTGGAACTGGCAATGATGAAGAGCAACCTGATGCCTTTTTTGGGAGCTGGAACTAATATTCGAGACTGGGACCTGCAGAATATGGGCAATCAGGTTCAAAAAGTTGTCCAGTTTGGATCTTTTTTTTTCTTTTCGCACAAATGTAATTTTGAGCTATAGTAATAACAGTAAAAGTATATGTAAACAATTGCTGTTTTATTTATTATCATATTTGTATTAATGGAATTGCAGGCTGCATAGTACTTTCGCAATCCTATTTACACTCAAGCATTGCAGCTGTCTTCAGCACAGTTCCAGCCCTGTCATCTGAGAGCTGTTAAGCAAATATGAGTCAGTTTGCAAACAACACTTACTCACCCAGCCTAAATTTGCCAGTTTCAGTCATGGCGTCCTAATGTTTCACGGTATGTGGCGTGCCTTCCTTTACACAGCAGCGCCTCCCTTCTCTAAGATGGCCGCTCTCTGAGAGCGTCTCTAGGATACACCGGGGTGACGTCAGACGCAGGCCGGGCTCCCCGTGTGTGAGTGACGCTCTTAGAAAGTTTGCAGGGAGGGGCCGGCGGGGGGATCGGAAAGTTTGGAGAGTTTTGGCGGCGGAGGACCCGGATTTCTCCATGAAGAAGAGAAAGGTGAGGGATGCCTGGCCGCGGGGGAGTGCTGTGTTAGATGAGAGCCGGGAGATGGGTGGATTGGAAGGGACGATATAGGGGATCGAGCCAGCACAGGGTAACGATCATTTAACGAGCAACGATCTTCAGTTAGTGGGGTGTCTGATGGGTCAGTGGGGGTCATCAGGGTGTATAGAGTGCATGGGGTGACATATGAGATGGGGGAGAGGATGGGGTGACATATGAGATGGGGGAGAGGATGGGGTGACGGATGACATGGGGTGACGGTCGGGATGGGGGAGAGGATGGGGTGATAGACGGGATGGGGG